GACCAGAGAGATGTTTCCCATATTGAAATGTTCCCAGTCCCACATTAATTTTTATTTATTTATTTATTTATTTAAACAATTTCTATGCCGACCCATTCACAAAAAGCCTTGGGGCGGCTTACAACATAAATAAACAATTATATAATTAGCCTTAAAAATCCGGAAACATCTCAGCACATACATAAAAACCCAATAAATACAATCAATATATTAACAATTAAAATAACTTTTAAATAAAAAGGTCTTGGCCTGGCACCGAAAAACAAATAACGACGGCGCCAGGCGGACCTCTCTGGGGAGCGCATTCGATAGGTGGGGCACCACCGCAGAGAAGGCCCCCCTCCGGGTACTCACCCTCCTAATGTCTCTCACGGAGGGTTCCCGAAGAAGGGCCTCTGCTGCAGATCTCAAGGGGCGGGAGGGCATATCTGGCATGAGAGGCGGGAGGGCATGAGAATGCTCAGTTCAGTGCTACTGTTCAGTGCAGTGGGACTTCTTGATGAGAAAAATGCATCGGATTGAGCTGTGCCTCTGTTTACTTAGACCAAACCCAATTAACTTAGACCAAACCTAATTAAGATACATGACTGCAGCTTTCAAAATAGCCCCCTTTTACTTTTATTTTTTCACATACCATGACATATGGATTTCAGCAGGAATTGTTGCCTTCACTGGAATCTTACCTCTATCCCAGGCTGCACAACGGTGTCTGGATCCCTGGCAACTTGCCATTTGCATCTATTTGGAAGTTTTGTTCCCAGGCAAGCCAGTAGTCTATTCAGGTCTTGGAAATGTCGAGAATTCCTCTGGCATCACTTGTCTTATAAAGAAATGCTACCAACCTGAGGGGTGCATGTGCCACAAACTCAGGAACATAAGAAGGGCCCCAGCTGCTGGATCAGACCCAGGTGTCATCCAGCCACAGGGTAACCTGCCTTGCCATCACAAGACAACACTGCCTCACCCCCTTCCCGTCTCCCTGCTGCTACATTGTGTCTCTGCTTTCCCCATCCCATCTTATCCCCTGTCAGCATCCAAGGCATGGGCAGCTGATTGACAGGGGCACCAGGACCCAGGCAACCAGGATGGGGCACAATGGGCAGTCTGAGAGCACAGTCAAACAGTCTAAGGTCAGAAGCAGGGGTTGAAGCTTCCGGCAGAGTCTGTTCAAGAAGTCAACATGGTCAAACAAGCCAGGAGTCAGGAAATCAAGGAGGCTGAGGGGAGCAGGTACCTTGAGGGCTGGAGCAGGAAAGAAAGCAAGCAAGGGTCAGGATGCCAGGCAGGGTCCAGGAGCAAGAACACCAGCAGGGTCATGGGCAGGAGCAGGATCATAGGCAAAGTTACACGAGCAAGTCCAAGAAACCAGGAACACTTCAACAACTCAAAGAACCTTCATTGCCAAGGGAGCTTCTTGGGGGAAGAGCCAGTTCTTCCCCCAGTCTTCCCCCAGGTCTCTCAGGGCTACAGGGCTCCTACTAGATTGGGGTAGTAATCCCGTAGCTACCAGGGCTGCTGTGCAGGTCCTTGACCAGCAGATGGAGCCCCAAAGTCACCTCAGGTCTTGACAATCCGCCTCTTATCTTTGATGTTGGGAAAACACTTACTCTGCAGGCAGCTGTATGGCCAGAAGTTCATCTGAGTCTTCTAAGAGATGCAGAGCTATTTCTTCTAGCTATGGGTCTCTCAAATGGGACACAGGGTAGAAATCTGCTTCAGAGAAGTTTGCCAGATGCTTTCTTGCTTTGGCAAATTCCAGAGTGGGAGAATGGCAGGCAGGTTCTCCGGAGCACTTGCTGAAGGTCCATGGTGGCAGCAATGATGCCAGTGCACCCCTCTATATGGGGCAGGAGAGAGTGAGGGAGGAGTAGTAATTTACTGCTCCTCCAGCTCTGCAGCCCACTGCATGCACCTCACTTTGCTTCATGGGCGCTAACCCTGGATCCATCTAGTCTAGCATTATTTCCCACAATATTCTGGACAGTACTTCCAGGAAGACACCAGCAGGACATGAAGGTAATGGTCTTCTCTTACTCTTGTTGTCCAACAACTGGTATTCAGTGACAAAAGACTAAATTGGACATTAGTTTAAATCTGATAGCATAGTCTAGCAACTATGTCTTTTAAAAAAGAGTAGTTGGGGACTGTGATATTTAAAGGTCAATATTCCACCCCATGCTAAGATCACAGCCTTTATCAGGGCTTGGGATCCATAGTAGAGTAAATATGAAAAAAAAGATGAAGCTGATGAACATAGATTTATAGCAATGTCAGAAGTAGCATCTAAATTATCTAATCTACTTTCTAGATTATGTGTACAAGTGAGAGCCAGAGTGAAAAAGAATAATATTGACATTCCTTCCCGTCTTGTGGCATAGCCTTCCAACCAACACCCTGGCTGAATAGAAGGGTCAGTGAGAATGACTCTTTCTCCTATCCTCATAAATATGATTACAATAAAAAAGACCAGATCACAGTATAAATCTTCTCAGTGTAAAAGAGAAACTTCTTGGACATTTTAAATTATGGCTATTCCACACAAAGGTGAAATGATATAAAAAAGGAAACTCTACAGAGTTTCAAAGAACATCTGGAAATCTTCAATTTCCTCTTAATGTCATGGCCACTAAGATAGCATAGCAAATGGTATGCTATAAAACATAGTGCTTTATGTTATCAATAATGCATTTGAACGATTATTTTAAAAACTTCTGTACACATGTGTGCACACGCACAAATGTATTACGCAGAAAACTTGAGTAACATAATAGCATGCACATAAACCAGGAATAATTAAAATTATAGTTGTCCAGATAAAGTAAAATGAAGATTTGCTGCAGAGTGTAGTTCTCAGCAAAGAAGCCCTGGTTCACAGTTAGATCACCTTTCTTCTGAAGATATACCAGAACTAGACCACTACCTTCACAGCAGGGAAAATGTAACCATAGGATTATTCCAAAAATTAAGGGCTAATAAGTGGAGTCACTCAAAAAGAAGAAAAATCTGGAATTATTTGCTATAATGAGAAAAAATGATTTCTCCTTTACGCTCATGTTTCAGTGATAAAATCCTTTTGTAAGTAACACATCAGCATTGCAGACTGCCTCACCCAGTCACCAAGCAGTCCAAATTCCCATTGTCCTACCTCCAGCGGACTTTATCTTATCTCTCCTGTATCATCTAACTTTCTTTGCCCCTTCTTATCTCCTACCTATCAGAGTTAATATAACCAAACATAGAGAACAGATGGCTCCTGAAAGCCAGCCCGAAGCTCCTGGAGCTTGCTGTGATTCTATACAGTCTTTTGGGGAGGAACATCAAACTCTCTGCCCAGACCTGATGCACTGATCCAGAAGCAGCACCAGGTATGCCCTCTTCTCACTACAGGGCTGCTCGCATGCACTCATCTGCTCAGGTGGGCAAGTGGTGGCAGCAGTGAGGAGCACCAGACACTCACCTGTCCTTCCCAGTGGGTACAATTCTTTCTGCCATCCCAAGGCCATGTCAGGTAAGGGAATGCGGGTTTTCTAGTCCATGAGGATGTGGTGGGGAGGGGGAGATGCTTGTAGTTGTGAGAGGTGCCTTCCATTGGAAGGATAAGGGCAATTAAATCATATCGCAGAGTCACTTTGGAGGCATATCATTAACAGATTTCATTCATTAAACTGCATTTTAAATGTCATTTCAGGATAAACCAGCACTGACACTTTTTTTCCCCTTTGCAAACTGAGAAGCTCTTGGGCTTAAGTATCAGAGCTGTCTTCACCAAAGAAATTACATTTCAGGAAAATATCTAAGGAGAAGCTTAACCGTGTGTATATTTGAAGAGCACTTTCATAAATATACATATCTGTCTACTTTCAGGGTTTTAAAACCACCACTGTTATGAAAGAAAGAAAGAAAAATGCATTCAAATGTGCCTAGGCTTAAGCAAGTATTTGAGTCATGCAGATTCTAGAAAGGTTTACATATCCAAGGGGTTACTGAAAGGGATTATTATCAATTACAATAATGTCAAAGCGATCCAGCAAAGTATAGCCTAGAGCTAGCAAAGGTAACGCCTTTTGCTCAAGGTTACATAGCAATTCATTTGTAGAGATGAGAATCAAAACTCCAGGTAAAAGTTTAGACACTTATTCTTATTATTTATTTATTTTTATTTATTTAGAAGGCTTCTATGCTGCCCCATTCACCGAAGCCTCAGGGAGGCTCACAATAATAAATAAATAAGGACAGAATAAAACAATATAATATGAGTCAACCTGGCCCGAAAAATAAAATAAATAAATAATATTAATAATTAAAATAGCGTTTGAATAAAAAGGGTATTATTGAATTACATTTGTACCCCAAAGGCTTGAGGGAAGTAACTACTCCAAGTCTTTTTTAATTTGTTTTTACAGTTTTGCACTTTGAAAATTTTTGAAGCTATTTTATTCTTTGGTCTGCTTGATGAAGTGTTGGAAACTATCCAGAGAGCTTTAGATATTAGGCAGCATAGAAATGAAATGAACTAAATATATCATAAAGCATAAGATCCAGAAATGTCGAGTCTAAATGATAGGTATGTTATCTATGTCCTAGCCCTTGAACTAAGAGGTCTTATAAAGGGATATTTAAGTATGGAAAACATCTTTTCTTAACAAGGTTCCAGAGCTTTTTAACAGAGGCCCGGTGGATATTTGACAGATGAAATATTTGAGCCACCTCTATGCTAAACTCTGTCTTTTTTACTAGTCCTGCTCTTGTGCCTTTTAACAGTAATGTGACACTCAGAAAATTACACAGGCCGTTTTTTTCAGACATCAGAAGAGCATGGGAAGGACAGGGAATCTCTTCTGGTCTGTTTGTGGATATCTGGCTCCAGGCAAAGCTTGGGAGCAATGCTGGAAACAGATACCATGTGCCACGTACAGCTGAATAGCAGGCTTGTAGCAGAGACAAGTAGAACACCCAGTTAGAGGGCGATTTGTCAAAAGCCATCCATCCAGGGACAAGACCAACTGGCTGTGTCCACTCAGCTGTACTTTGTGCACAGATGCTGTGGCTGCAAAGGAGGAGATCAGGGTAAGTTAACACTCAGGCAGGGCCCAAAGTGGGAAGGGATGCCATGCTATTTCTTTTCAAGCTGATATAAAACCGTGCTACTTCTTCGTACTTAATACAACTGAGTCTAGCCTTATCTCATTTTCTAACCACAGTGTGTCCCCCATGGGCAATCTACTTTACTGTGCATGCTTCATTTAGGGCTTAGATTTCTCTTTCATCACATCTCTTAGTAATGAACCCCAAATTAATTTTTCTCATGTAGCATACTGTGAGCAGCAGTGGCAAAGGAGAAAGAAACCACTGAAATGAACCACTACAGACATGCTGCTTAGGTACTGCTGGCCAGTGCAGTTTGCTGGCTATAATCTAATGGAGAAATGCTAGAGAACAATCTGCCAGGAGCACTGGATGATTCTTCGTAGCTCAGGTTGGGCAACCTCAGGCCTAGGGGCCAAATCTGGCTCACATGGAATCCAAATCAAATCCTCTGAGGTTCCTCAGATGCCAGGATACCTTCACCATTCACCAGTCATGTGGTTGTTCTCCAGCTCTTTGTACCGTTCTCTCTCACACACATTCTTAAAGGGTGAACTGCAATATGCTTAAAGGGATCCTTCATCTGCACAGCAAAGCAACAATGGTTTTTACCAACTGTTTAACAACAACAACAACAAAAATTTTCCCCACCACCACCAATACATAAAGAAGGGCTGGGGAGAAGTAGAACTGATTTTTGTGTGAAAGGATTGTGACTTCAGTTCTTGCACTGGCCACCTGTACGAGAAGCCCCATGTTCCTTAAGTATAATTTCCAATATTTGAGCACTGTTTCAAATCTGAATCCAGCTATCAGGAGCATCCCAGAAATAGGTTACCACTTCTGCAATGTCTGTTTTCCCTATAGCCAACTACTCCATCTGGAGAATGACTCCAAGTGCAATATAAGGATCTAGGTAGGCACACAGAATAAAAGCAAAGACTCTACAAGCCTGAAGTCTGTCTTGTGCTGTTCACTATACCTTTGTTCCATTTTCAGGACCGTACAGAGTATAATGAAAAAGGGATGGAAAATTCTTTTCAGTGTGAGGGACCAATTCAATTTGGAGAAGCTCTTCCATACCACATTCCAGAAGTGGGTGGGACAAAAGGGATGTGCCAAAGACACATGGGGTGGAGCAAGAAGCAAAAGGGGCAGGGTCCAAATCTTGCATAATTTCACTTAAAGCTTCTATTGCCAGTATCTAATCCTTAGAAGAACCATTTTGACCTATTACAATGGGAAAATGCAAAAGCTGGAGAGCCAGTGAAGGATCCATAGTCAGGGGAAAGGGGTCATGATCAGGAAAGGGGGCATGGTCATTTAGACAACTGTAGAAAGCCAGATTGGCTCCCAAGAGGTCCAGCTTTGACCCACAGGTTCTTAATCCCTCTGGTTCTCTGTGGTTCTCCACTTCTCCTCTACAGCCAGCACTGCCTGTCCTTGAACTAGACAATTGGTAATGGTCTGGGAACAATGGCGTCACCATAGCCTGGACTCCTTATTTCCCACTTTGTCTAAAATATACTTTGTGACTCTTCTTTAAAAAAAGTAGTCTTTTACAGATAAATTGGAAGTGACTTACTTCCATTTGCTGTACTGTTGAGCATCACACACAGAGATACATTCTATTCATTCTTGGAAAGTTCCCCTTCTTTCCCCCACAGTCTTTAAAACAGTTCAAATAATAAACAATGTACAATTATTGTAAATGTTATTATTTGCAGATGACAAATATTAAATAACCAGTAATGTTTGTTTGTTCAAGCAAACTTTGTACTGGTGTATTATGCTAGATTTTACAATTTTACTATAATTATGGTCCAATAGAAACCTGCTTCAAAATTTGGGCAAGGACCGCATAGCAAATAAACAAGTTATATAACCAGCCTTTCATGCTATTGATACCTGGCTGCTAACAGACACTAACAAGATAATTTGCTTGAATCTTGCATTGTAGCCATCTCTTCTGGTTTTGATTCATATCCATGCTATACTCTTATTGATGCTGCCTTTAAACTAAAAGTATACAAGAAATCAGTTCTTCCTTTGCAAATACTGTCCTTTCCTATGTCTGCTTCTGCTTCTAACTAAACCACCAATTTTCAGTTTTATGGTTCTATGAAGCAATGTTTTGAAATATAATGGCTGTACTAGAACCTTTCCCCAGTGTAGTAAACCCAAATTTCCCAAGCTGAAGCTCTGGCTAGCACGGAAGTGATGTAAACTGTCTCTCATACGTGCACATGCAGGACCACAGACTTCCCTTCTTGCTCTGCACTCAGCTGCAGACTTCAGAGTGCACTGGCCAGTGAATGGATTTTCCCAACAAAAAATGTATCAGCTTTCCCTAATGTAATGCAAGATATCTTGAATGACTAGATAACTCAGACTCAAAATTTATGAGCATTCAGTGCATAGCAGGAGAAATAATGGAGGCATTCTTCATGTCCCCATCCCTCCTGTTCTGCAAATTCACCTCATTCAGCCATCTATCTGTGGCCTTTCAGGGCTGGGCAAAAGGAGGCTAAAGCAGAATAGCTTGCATTCTGGCAAGCCCAGTCACCTCCCCTTCTTGCCCCACCCCTGCTCCCTTTACACCCTTCTCTGAGGTCTGTGTTCCAATCTCAGAAAAGTAGTTGGTGCAGTACTTTCCACATCCGTTGCATGCAGGAGCAGCAATCCCTAAACTGCAAGGCTGGAATTCTATTCAGAATTCCATCTAGGAGTCAACAGTATCCTGTAGCTCCTAGATGCTATTTAGGAGGCCATAGCATCAGTATAATGCCAAATCCAACTGGATCATGTCAATCAGAGTAAGTGGAAAACCAATCAGAATGACCGTAATTCAAGTCTGCACTCCAAGAGTGGATGCTAAAGAAGAAGAAATTGAAAACTTTTATGTGGGTGTTTCAGAGGAAATTCAAAACATGACATGTTGCTTGTTTGTTTGTTTGTTTTAAAGCTTTTCTAGACTGTCCCTCTACTAGCATCTCAGGATGGTTTACAACACAGTTGGGACAGTTTACAACAAACCTAGGTGATTGCAATGCAAAAATAGGAAATAAAGCAGAATCAAATGTGGTTGGAAAATTTGGCCTAGGAGTAAGAAATGAAGCAGAAGAACAACTTGTAGAATTTTGTGAAACCAACAACCTGTTCCTTGTAAGCACATACTTCAAACAACCACTCAAATGACTGTATCTATGGATGTCACCAGATGACCAATACAGAAATCAAATATGCAATTGCAGACAAAAGGTGGAGAAGCTGCTCCTAATATCAATCTCCTGCTCACTTAAGGGTTCAGTTCTCCCATCCAAGTACTAACCAGGCCTGACCCCACTTAGCTTCCAAGATTAGGCAGGACCAGGCACTTCAGGCTACATGGAAGAATCAACGCATTTTTCTCAAACTAATTTTTGGTTCCATGAAAGGATGGCATTTTAACCTTGACATCTATGTCAGAAAATACAAAGGAAAAACAAAGTACTTGAGCATATTACAATACTTTCTGTGCTTACATTTGTAATGTTGAAGAAAGGACATTTCAGTGAGTTAAAAGCAAATGTGAATTCTGAAATGCAAACAGGATCAGAGATGGGGAGTAACCTTCATTACTGAGGGAAAGCTGTGGTATAGTCAGTCACAGCATTATGGAACACAGCACTGAAAAGGCTAGCAAGAGGTCATGAATTGTCACAATTCTTTTTAGATTCCCTTCAGACAGCTTTCCCTTTTCTTTATTCACATGTTGCCAAGGTTGCCAGAAAGATTAAAATCATCATGAACAGCCGACTATGCAGAAATGAAACAACATATATATGTGTATCCTCAGTTGATTCTGATACTCCCATAAACTGACAAGGTGCAGGTAGGCAAAAGTTATCATTCTACCAGGCTGGTGTTAAAGAAGAGATCAGTATATTTTGATCAGAGAGTTGCTTCACATGGACAGAAATGGGCCAATGCTCACTCATGACATTCTGTTTCCCACCCTGGCATAGAAACAGGTGTACAAGTTTTCAGTTAAGTGGTACCCTTTCTTAATTAAACAGCTGGAAATGTTATGGTTCTCCTGAAGTTTTGCACATTCTGTCTGCTTAAATAAATGTATAAAAGGAAAAACAGTGTTTAAAGATTTCCACGGCACCTTCTAAAAAGCAATGCATACATTTCCAAAAAATCTTCCATCAGGCTTCTCCCTTTTATTTAATAATGGGTTTCCTGATTTTTCTGCAAAACCAACCCATGGAATTATGCACGTAGCAGTGGTTGATACCCAGAACAATAGGTATAGTGGTGGTGAGGTGGTCCTCGGCTTTTAGAATACTGGGAATGGCGAGTGCCATTATGGGTCCGCTCCATAACTTCCCCAATGTGGAGTTGGATTCCAGATATTCAAGGCTACCACTACCACCATAGCTGAGCATTGCCCATGCTGGCTGGGGGTGATGGGAGTTGAAGTCCAAAACAACTAGAAGATACCAGACAGGGAAGACTTATGTGTATTGTAAACCCTGCCCATAACTCGTTCCCTTTTTTTCCTCATTTCCTATTTTTGCCAGCAGTCCTCTAGTGGAACTTAGTGAAGAACCCCAAGGCATCACAAGGACTTCAGGGGTCTGACCCTATTTGTACATCAAATCTCCAGTGCAAGGGAAGCTTCATGGATCATCGCCATAAGCACGATTCCTGTCTATGAACTGTGCCATGCAAAAAACTGCAGGGCCTTTATAAATCAATCCAGGGAAAAGCAATTGCATCAAGGAGAAGCACAATCACTTACTTCTTTGTGCTCTGCATTTTTGTTCTACTAGTCTATTATTTCTTGCTTAGGAGAATCTGCAAAACAATGGATAATGAAGAAAAGATTGGAGTCCCTCTTCTCCCAATCAAACCATAATAATTGTCATTTCTTTGTGTTGGTGGCATGCTCTAGGGCCTCATAAGTATAGCTCATTACTTAATGCTGCTTAATT